GTCCCCTTGAGGAAGGACTCCACTACATTGCCGACAATTTATGCAGTGAATCTTTCTCCCATCCTTCCCCAAGGAGACTTCTGGCTTTTTACCAGGGTAACTGTGCTTTGGGGAAAGGGAAATGATCAGACATTTTGGGGACTGCTGGACACTGGCTCTGAGCTGACATTGATTTCAGGGAACCCAAAATGTCATTTTGGTCCTCCAGTTAAAGTAGGGGCTTATGGAGGTCAGGTAATTAATGGAATTATAGCTCGGGTCCAACTTAGAGTAGGTCCCCAGACTCATCTGGTGGTCATTTCTCCAGTGTCAGAATACATAACTGGCATAAGCATACTTAGCAGATGGCAATACTCCCACATTGGCTCCTTGACTGGTAAGGTGAGGGCTACTCTGGTGGAAAAGGCCAAATAAAAGCCATTAGAGCTGCCTCTACCTAGGAAAATAGTAAATCAAAAACAATATTGCATTCCTGGAGGGATTGTGGAGATTAGTCCCACCATCAAGGACTTGAAAGACACAGGGGTGGTGATTCCCACCACATCCCCATTCAACTCTCCCATTTGGCTTGTGCGGAAAACAGATGGATTATGGAGAATGACAGTTGGTTATCACAAGCTTAACCAAGTGCTGACTCCAGTTGCAGCTGCTGTACTAGATGTGATTTCATTGCTTGAGCAAATTAACACATCTCCTGATACCTGGTATGCAGCCATTGACTTAGCAAATGCCTTTTTCTCCATTCCTGTCCATAAAGCCCACCAGAAGCAATTTGCATTCAGCTGGCAAGGCTGACAATATACCTTTACTGTCCAACCTCAGGGGTACATGAACTCTCTGGCTTTGTGTCATAATCTTATTTGGAGAGACCTTGATCAATTTTCACTTCTGCAGGATGACATGATGGTCCATTACATTGATGACATTATGCTGATTGGATCTAGTGAGCAAGAAGTAGCAAACAAACTGGACTTATTGGTGAGATTTTTTTTTCATGCCAAAGGATAGGAAATAAATCTGACTGAAATCCAGGGACCTTCTACCTCAGTAAAATTTCTGGGGGTCCAGTGGTGTGGGACCTGTCGAGATAGTCCTTTTTTTTTTTTTTTTTTTGAGTGGCTGAAAAGTTTACTTTTGAGTTTTAACTGCACTTTGAAAACTATATTGTGCACTGTGCTGGCATGCAGAAAGGCTGGGCTCCCTGAAAACATCCAGTTCCACCACAGGGCAGGCCCAAGCTGAGCCAACCCCCAGGTGATGCAGGGTGGCATCCCACCTGGGGTAATATGGGCAGAGGCAGAGCCAGGCCAAATTGAGGGACTGTGCTGGGGCCCTACTGGCCCAGACTTCCTACCTGACCCCAGCACAGAAGTGCTCTGTAGGGCTGGCTGAGGACCCTGGTTCACTGAGGGTATGTCACAGAAAGTCCCTATCTGGCAGGAAGTCAGCTCTGCAGGTTCCACCTCAAGGCCACACACAGCCTTTCCCACCTGCAGATTCTGCCAAGCCTCAGTCCACAGTGGTGACAGGCAACCCCACCAGGACAGGGTACTTCCAAAGGCCAGTTCGAGTCTACGCCAGGCATCCACTAAATCTGCCTCTCCCTCTCCAGCAAGCTGGGTACAGCCCTCAACCCCTGAAGACATGGGGAGAGGGGACAGGGCCTGTAGGCTCAGGACACACCATGGTCCTGATTTTCACAGTGGTCTTGAAAAGGCAAGCCCAGCAGACAGGCGGCTGGAGAGGCATGTCCCGGGCCTCAACATAGGTCCACCGCATGGACTCCTGCAGTGGCCTCACTGAAGTGGCAGAAACACAGAAGTGCCAAATTCATCACTCTTTTCCTGTAGGAATTCCCCAGAGGTAGCCCTCAGGAGGATGGCCCTGTTGGCTGAAGATAGGACCATAACACCCGTGCCTGCCCAGGGCCACCTTTGACTTGGCTACAGGAACTCCGCAGACGAGCATCCTGGACACACAAGGAAAAGAAAGTTCCCTCCGAGTGGGTATCTGGCCCAGCCTCGGCCCCAGCAAGCGGAGGGCAGCAAAGCCCCCAAATGACTCCACTACCCCCCACCCACCATCCCTGCTGGGCAGACAGGCGCACCCTGTCCATGGGGGCACCCCCGCCCCACAGTGTCCTGCTGCCCTCGCATCCCCGTGTGCCCAGTCGCCTGCCCGCCAGACCCGGTCACAGGGCCAGGAGGGTCACGCTGCCCAGGCACAGAGAGATAGTCCTTCTAAGGTGAAGGATAAGTTGTTGCATTTGGTCTCTCCTACAACCAAGAAAGAACTACAAAACCTAGTTTTGGATTTTGGAGGCAACACATTCCTCATTTGGGTGTGTTACTCTGGCCCATTTATCGAGTGACCCAAAAGGCTGCCAGTTTTGAATGGGGTCCAGAACAGGAGAAGGCTCTGCAACAGGCCCAGGCAGCTGTGCAAGCTGCTCTGCCACTTGGTCCATATGACCCGGCAGATCCAATGGTGCCCGAGGTGTCTGTGGCAGATAGAGATGCTGTTTGGAGCCTTTGGCAGGCCCCCATAGGTGAATCACAGAGGAGGCCTTTAGGATTTGGAGCAAGGCCCTGCCATCTTCTGCAGATAACTACTTTCCTTTTGAGAGACAGCTCGGCCTGTTACTGGGCTTTGGTGGAAATTGAACGTTTGACTATAGGCCATTAAGTCACCATGCCACCAGAACTGCCTATCATGAACTGGGTGCTTTCTGACCTATCTAGCCTTAAATTGGGTCATGCGCAGCAGCATTCCATTATCAGAAGGAGGAACACTGCCACCAGGAGACACAACAATTCCATTAAACTGGAAGTTAAGATTGCCACTTGGACACTTTGGTCTCCTCCTATCTTTAAGTCAGCAGGCTAAGAAGGGAGCTGCAGTGTTGGCTGAGGTGATTCACCCAGATTATCAAGATGAAATCAGTCTACTACTCCACAATGGAGGTAAGGAAGAATATACATGGGATACCGGAGATTCATTAGGACATCTCTTAGTATTACCATGCCCTGTGATTAAGGTCAATGGAAAACTACAACAGCCCAATCCACGCAGGACACAAATGATCTAGACCCTTCAGGAATGAAGATTTGGGTCCTCTACCAGGAAAGAAACCACCGCCTGCTAAGGTGCTTGCTGAAGGCAAAGAGAATACAGAATGGGTAGTAGAAAAAGGTAGTTATTAATACCAGCTATGACCACGTGACCAACTGCAGAAACGAGGACTGTAATTGTCATGAGTATTTCCTCCTTTTATTAAAAACATGTTTGTGCATGTGTACACTTGTACTAAGAAAATATCTTCATTTTATTTACTTTTACTTTATGATATGACATAAGATTTATTGACTTCATATCAGCATTTAAGTATCATTAACTTTATATAATAGCATTTGGGTTGGGGATTGATGTGTTTCTGGTTGTACAAAGGATAGTTGTATTATGTTAGGTGTAATTATGACATTATTGTTTTTATTTAAAGATTATGTATGATATCAGGAGATGTGTGTGTGTTCAAGTTAACAAGGGGTGGACTTGTGATGGTTAATACTGAGTGTCGATTGGATTAAAGTATGCCAAGTACTAATCCTGCATGTTTCTGTGAGGAGATTAACATTTGAGTCAGTGGGCTGAGGAAGGCAAACCCACCCTTAACTGCATGGGCAGAATTTAATTAGCGTCCAGTGAATATATAGCAGGCAGAAAAATGAAAAAAGGAGACAGATGGGCCTAGCCTCTGAGCCTACATCTTTCTCCTGTGGCAGAAGCTTCCTGCCCTTGAACATCGGACTCCAAGTTCTTCAGTTTTGGGACTGAGACTGGCTCTCCTTGCTCCTCAGCTTGCAGACAGCCTATTGTGGGACCTTGTTATCATGTATGTTAATACTTAATAAACTTCCCTTTATATATCCTATTAGTTCTGTCCCTCTAAGAGAACCCTGACTAATACAATCCCCATGCTGGAAGCCTGGCCCTCTGCGGTACAGTTATTGAGGCAGGAGAATAGGATCTGGAGGCAGCAAACATGAGGCTGCATGCCAACTTCCTAGAACTAAATTGAAAGGAAAACCTAACTTTCCATGCCTAAGTAACGGAAGGACCAGAGGCTACTCCCTTTGACCTTTTCTGGAAGGACTAGAGGCTACTCCCTTTGATCTTTTCTGTGCGGCAGATGGGAAATTGGCTGTTCGCAAGGAATCAGACTGATTGCAGGCCAGTCTTTGCATAGAAGTATAATTTTGTAACTTTACCCTACCCTCTGATTGGTTGCTTGCTGCAATGTTTGCACAGGAGTGTGACCTTTGTATCTTCACTTCAGCCTCTGGTTGGCTGCTTTCTGCAACCAATCAGACTGATTGCAAGCTACCATTTTATTCACATGAGGTGAACATGAAGTGACCACTGGGAAACTTCTAGGGGGTATTTGGACCCAAGAAGATTCTGTGTCTAGGCTCTTGAGCAGCTGCTCAGGCTACTCCCATACTGTGGAGTATGGTTTTGTTTTCAATAAATCCTTACTTTTGTTCTTTTATTGCTTCATTATTTTTTGCTGGGTATTTTGCCCTACTCTTTGTTCAAAATGCCAAGAACTTGGACAACTTGCATTCACAGCCCTCAACTGGTAACATTATGATTTCCCTTCTTTACCAGTCATAACCACCTTCTAATTTTTCAGGGGGTTCTGCTGGTTTTTAGTTTCCTTCATTATACTCATTTATTTCTTCCTTCTGAGGCATCTTTGGGTTTAGACTGGGGGAGGCAGACTGTGCCACTTTGCCATCATGTTAGGGGCCCGTAATGATATGCCTTTCATGACTCAGCCTACCCCAGGGGTATTGAAGCTTTGTGTCTCCAGTAATCTAGGGCAGAAGATATTCTTTCTTAATTGGTCATAGTAGTAGTCCAGAAATGAAGATGTTCAAGCTGAAGAACTACAGCCAGAATATAAAAGCAAAGGAAAGACAAAGCAATATATATACATGAAAGAGAACAAAATAGGCATTTCCTGAAAGATATGTACCTTCAACATGCTTGTATTTAATTTTACAGTGATTTGGGAATCTTCTTAACCCTGGAAATGAGACAAGAAAATTAACCTCATTATAAATTGCTTTAAACACATTTGTAGGAATATAGGTGAGACATAGGGGAAAGTGCTGCCAGAATTCACAAAGATAAACTAGTAAAATCAGTATGTAGGCTGGGCTTGGTGGCTCACGCCTGTAATCCTAGCACTTTGGGAGGCTGAGTTGGGTGGATCACCTGAGGTCAGGAGTTCAAGACCAGCCTGGCCATCGTGGTGAAACCCCTTCCTTAAAAAAAAAAAAAATCAGTATGTAATGCTTTTTTTTTTTTTTTTTTTTTTTTTGAGGCAGGGTCTCATACTGTCGCTTAGGCTGTAGTGCAGTGGCATCATCTCAGCTCACTGTAACCTCTGCTCCCCAAGCTCAAGCAGTCTTCCCACCTCAGCCTCCCAAGCAGCTGAGATTACAGGTGTAAGCCACTGTGCCTGGCCTATAATCCATATTTATAAAAGTCACATAAAGGTGGCAGAATGTCTTGCAGCCCCAAAATCAGGAAGAAAAGAACTTGGCAATAGCTTATTACTTATTAGACAGTATTCTTATACCTAAAGTTAGAACATGGCTTAAATATTGATAATGATTGTTATTTCTGAGGATAGACCTGTCCGTATTTTTTAAATTTTCAGTGAATATGCATTACTTTTGTAATTGGTACAAACTGAATATTATTTTAATGGAATTTTCTTTTTCTTTTTTTTTGAGACGGAGTTTCGCTGTTGTTACCCAGACTGGAGTGCAATGGCACGACCTCGGCTAACTGCAACCTCTGCCTTCTGGGTTCAAGCAATTCTTCTGCCTCAGCCTCCCAAGTAGCTGGGACTACAGGCACGCACCACCATGCCCAGCTAATTTTTGTATTTTTAGTAGAGACGGGGTTTCACCCTGTTGACCAGGATGGTTTCGATCTCTTGACCTCATGATCCACCTGCCTCGGCCTCCCAAAGTGCTGGGATTACAGGCGTGAGCCACCGCGCCCAGCTATTTTAATGGAATTTTCATAGAGAAATAATTATATAAACATACAAAATATTGTAAAGATATTTGGTGTAGCATTGTTTGCAATGTTGAAAAATATCCAAATTTCTTTTTTTTTTGAGATGGAGTTTCGCTGTTGTTACCCAGACTGGAGTACAATGGCACGATCTCGGCTCACCACAACCTCTGCCTCCTGGGTTCAAGTAATTCTCCTGCCTCAGCCTCCCGAGTAGCTGGGACTACAGGTGCACACCACCATGCCCAGCTAATTTTTGTATTTTTAATAGAGACGAGGTTTCACCCTGTTGACCAGGATGGTCTCAATCTTTTGACCTCGTGATCCACCTGCCTCAGCCTCCCAAAGTGCTGGGATTACAGGCTTGAGCCACTGCGCCTAGCCCTTCTTTATTTTTTTTTGAGACAGTCTTGCCTTGTTGCCCAGGCTGGAGTACAGTGTTGTAATCTCAGCTCACTGCAACCTCTGCCTCCCAGGCTCAAGCCTTTCTCATTCCTCAGACTCCTGAGTAGCTGGGACTACAGGTGTGTGCCAGCATGCCCAGCTGATTTTTTAATTTTTTAGTAGAGACAGAGTTTCAGCATGTTGGCCAGGCTGGCCTTGAAGTCCTGGCCTCAGGTGATCCACCTTCCTCAGCCTCTCAAAGCGCTGGAGTATAGGCATGAGTCACCACTCCTGGCCTCAAAGTAGATTTTAAAACATGTCCAATATGAGCTTGCTTTTGCAACAAAACAAGCTTGTTTTAGAGACCCCGTCTCTTAAAAAATAATAAAAATAAAATAGTAGGGCCGGGCCTAGTGGCTCACACCTGTAATCCCAGCACTTTGGGAAACCAAGGCAGGCCAATCACTTGAGGCCAGGAGTTTGAGACCAGCCTGGCCAACGTGGTGAAACCCTGTTTCTACTAAAAATACAAAAATTAGCCAGGTGTCATTGTGGATATCTGTAGTCCCAGCTACTCAGGAAGCTGAGTCAAGAGAATCACTTGAATCTAGGAGATGGAGGTTGCAGTGAGCTGAGATCATGCCACTGCACTCCAGCCTTGGCGACAGAGGGAGACTCCATCTCAAAAATAAATAAAATTAATTAATTAAAATAAAACAGGTAACTGGAAATAAGAGTCTTCAGGGATTTAGCATAAGTAATAAGTGGTTAGGTCAGAAGGATATCTGACACTTGAAGTCAGTAATGGAATGGAGCTAACAAAACTTAAAGAAAAATTTATATATTTTGTCCCAAGGCCCTATAAATAACTAAATTAGAATATTTTCCCTCAAAATAATCTAAATTCATTAATTTAATTGCTGTAAAGTAAAAGGAAAAATGGGAGACCAGAAAAAAATGTTGTTTTGTGATTATAACCTATAACTTATGAGTCATGCTTATTCAATTTAATGGTTATATTTGGTTTAATAATTTTTTTCAAAAACACATGCTCATGATATATGACTTTGTACACACCAAATAGCAATATTTTTGCTATTACTGCTGTATTGTAGAATTTTAAATGTCTTATTTTATGGTGTCTGCCACCTGGACAAATTTGTGAGTTAACACTACTTTTTTTTTTTTTTTTTGAGATGGAGTCTTACTCTATCTCCCAGGCTACTGCACAGTGGCACAATCTTGGCTTACTGCAACCTCTGCCTCCTGGGTTCAAGCAATTCTCCTGCCTCAGCCTCCAAGTAACTGAGATTACAGATGTGCATCAGCATACCTGGATAATTTTGTATTTTTAGTAGAGATGGGGTTTTGCCATGTTAGCCAGGCTGGTCTCAAACTCCCCACCTCAGGTGATCCACCTGCCTTGGCCTCCCAAAGTGCTGGGATTACAGGCATAATTCATTGTGCACAGCCTAACACTACTTCTTCGGGACTTAGATTTCACCAAAATAAATCAGACTGCTCCCATGAACTCTTTCAGATTAACAAAAGTTCAATTTTCTAAATTCTTGATTTAGAATATTAAATAATTATTTGTCCTGAAAGAGTTAATGCAGACTCCAAAGCCCTTATTTCCACTAGAATAATTTCCAATGGTTTAAGTGAGAATCTGGTTCATCAGATTTTGGAAATGTGGAATCATCTCTTCAGTGTATCCTAGAAAATAAACACCTAATTTACTCAGATTGGGTCAAGATATGACAACTGCACTTAAAGTCATGTCACTGAACCATAATATGAAAAAAGCATTCTACAATTTTTTTTGTTACCTTTTTTTTTTTTTTTTTTTTGAGATGGAGTCTCACTCTGTTGCTCAGGCTGGAGTATAGTGGTGTAATCTTGGCTTACTGCAACCTCTGCCTCCTGGGTTCAAGCAATTCTGTCTCAGCCTGGGACTACAGGTGCCTGCTACCATGCCTGGCTAATTTTTTTTGTATTCTTAGTAGAGACAAGGTTTCAGCGTATTGGCCAGGCTGGTCTTGAACTCCTGACATTGTGATCTACCTGCCTCAGCCTCCCAAAGTGCTGGGATTACAGGTGTGAGCCACTGCACCTGGCCCTTTCTGGTACTTCTATTAACAGATTTCTAAGGATGGAATTAAAAGTGGACCTATCTAGTGTAGATTAGGTTCATGGTATTATAACTGGTTTTTTGCTTGTTTTATGTTATTCAATGGTGACATCTACAGGCCTATGATGAGAAACACAGACTAATGCTGAATTTATCTGTACTATTTTATGACAGGTATGAGTCCTAACCTCATACTGAACATGACTTTTGGTAACTCCTTGATGCTACAGGAGAAAGTCAAGTTAGGGAAACAAAAAGTATATGATCAAAGGCCCAATTACTAGAGTGCTTCCAGTCCATAACTTACTGTGATTGGAGGGATGCAAGAGATTTTCGGAAGGTAGACTGCACATCTAACTGAAGCAGCCTAGGAATATCTGGGTACCCACCCAGCTGGGCCCAGAGTGAATGCATAGATGTCTTCTCTGCTATTGGGTAGCTTGTAGTGGACAGATCAACATTCCAGATGGCCTCTGTCTGGTCCTCTTGTTGTCTACAGAATCAGAGCATAAATTGGAAGCACCAAATTTTTCTGAATTCCATAGCCCATTAATATATATCTTATTCACCCCTCTTCACCACCACCTAGTCCTATAATGCCCTCCCCTTGCACTGACCGGCATTAGCTCTGCCCACTTTGACAGACGGATGGATGAAAAAGCAGAATTTGCTGAGTTACCAAAGCTGCATTTTCATGACTTCACCTAGTAATCCACTTTAAAACTACCATTTTAGCTTCATGGCTTATAGAGACCACATAACTTTCCTCCTTCCTTCCTAAAGCTCCTTCCTCCTTAAAAAAATAAAAAACACCAAGCAAATGGAGAGCAAAAAAAAGCAAGAGCTGCAATTCTCGTCTCTGATAAAATAGACTTTAAAGCAGCAAAGATCAAAAGAGATAAAGAAGGACATTACATAATGGTAAAAGGATCGATACAACAAGAAGAGCTAACGATCCTAAATATATACGCATCCAATACAGGAACACCCAGATACATAAGGCAAGTTCTTAATGACTTACAGAGACTTAGACTCCCACACAATAATAGTGGGAGACTTTAACACTCTACTGTCAATGTTAGACAGATCAACCAGACAGAAAATTAACAAGGATATCCAGGACTTGGACTGAGACCTGGAAGAAGCAAACATGATAGACATTTACAGAACTCTCCACCCCAAATCCACAGAATATACATTCTTCTCAGCACACCTACTGTAAAATTGACCACATAATTGGAAGTAAATCACTCCTCCGCAAATGCAAAAGAACGGAAATCATAACAAACAGTCTCAGACCAAAGTGCAATCAAGTTAGAACTCAGAATTCAGAAACTAACTCAGAACCGCACAACTTCATGGAAACTGAACAACTGGCTCTTGAATGTTGACTGGATAAACAATGAAAGGAAGGCAGAAATAAAGACGTTCTTTGAAACCAACGAGAACGAAGACACAACGTACCAGAATCTCTGGGACGCATTTAAAGCAGTCTCTAGAGGAAAATATATAACAATAAGTGCCCACATGAGAAGAGTGGAGAGATCCAAAATTGATACCCTATCATCAAAATTGAAAGAGCTAGAGGAGCAAGATCAAAAAAAAAAAAACTCAAAACCTAGCAGAAGACAAGAAACAACTAAGATCAGAGCCGAACTGAAGGAGATAGAGACATGAAAAACCCTTCAAAAAATCAATAAATCCAGGAGCTGGTTTTTTGAAAAGATCAGCAAAATAGACCACTAGCCAGATTAATAAAATAGAAAAGAGAATAACCAAATTGATGCAATAAAAAACAATAAAGGGGAAATCACCACAGATCCCACAGAAATTCAAACCATCATCAAAGAATATTACAAACAACTCTATGCACGTAACTAGTAAACCTGAAAGAAACTGGATAAATTCTTGGACACTTGTGTCCTCCCAAGCCTAAACCAGGAAGAAGTTTACCATGAATAGACCAATAGCAAGATCTGAAGTTGAGGCAGCAATTAAGAGCCTATTACACAAAAAAAGCCCAGGTCCAGATGGGTTCACAGCTGAATTCTACCAGACACACAAAGAGGCACTGTTACCATTCCTCCTGAAACTATTCCAAATAATCCAAAAAGAGGGAATCCTTCCCAAATCATTTTATGAGACCAACATCATCCTGATACCAAAACCCGGCAGAGACTCAACAAGAAAAGAAAACTTAAGGCCAATATCCATGATGAACATAGATGCAAAAATCTTCAATAAAATACTGGCAAGCCAATTGCAACAGGACATCAAAAAGCTTATCCACCATGATCAAGTAGGATTCATCCCAGAGATGCAAGGCTGGTTCAACATATGCAAGTCTATAAACGTAATTCACCACATAAACAGAACCAAAAACAAAAACCACACGATTATCTCAATTGATGCAGAGAAGGCCTTTGACAAAATTCAACAGCCCTTTATGCTAAAAACCCTCAATAAACTCAGTATTGATGGAATTTATCTCAAAATAATAAAAGCTATTTATGACAAACCAACAGCCAATATACTGAATGGGCAAAAACTGGAAGCATTCCCTTTGAAATCTGGCACTAGACAAGGATGCCCTCTCTCAGCACTCCTATTCAATATAGTACTGGAAGTTCTAGCCAGAGCAATCAGGCAAGAAAAAGAAATAAAGGGTATTCAAATAGGAAAGGAGGAAGCCAAATTGTCGCTATTTGCAGACGACATGATAGTATATCTAGAAGACCCCATTGTCTCAGCCCAAAATCTCCTGAAACTGATAAGCAACTTCAGCAAAGTCTCAGGATACGAAATCAATGTGCAAAAATCAAGCATTCCTATACGCCAATAACAGACTTAAAGAGAGCCAAATCAAGGACGAACTGCCATTCACAATTGCTACAAAGAGAATAAAATACCTAGGAATACAACTAACAAAGGATGTAAAGGACCTCTTCAAGGAGAACTATAAACCACTGCTCAACGAAATAAGAGAGGACATAAACAGATGGAGAAACATTCCATGTTCATTGTTAGGAAGAATCAATATTGTGAAAATGGCCATACTGCCCAAAGTAATTTACAGATTCAACGCTATCCCCATCAAGCTACCAATGACCTTCTTCACAGAACTGGAAAAAACCACCTTAAACTTCATATGGAACCAAAAGAGAGCCTGCATAGCCAAGTCAATTCTAAGTAAAAAGAACACAGCAGGAGGCATCACACTACTGGACTTCAAACAATACTACAAGGCTACAGTAATCAAAACAGCATGGTACAGCATGGTATCTCTGTACCAAAACAGAGATACAAACCAATGGGACAGAACAGAGGCATCAGAGGCAACACAACGTATCTACAACCATACAATCTTTGATAAACCTGACAAAAACAAGCAATGGGGAAAGGATTCCCTGTTTAATAAATGGTGTTGGGAAAACTGGCTAGCTATGTGCAGAAAGCAGAAAATGGACCCCTTCCTGACACCTTACACTAAAATTAACTCCAGATGGATTAAAGACTTAAACATAAGACCTAAAACCATAAAAACCCTAGAAGAAAATCTAGGCAAAACCATTCAGGACATAGGAGTAGGTAAGGACTTCATGAACAAAACACCAAAAGCACTGGCAACAAAAGCCAAAATAAACACATGGGACCTAATCAGACTCCACAGCTTCTGCACAGCAAAAGAAACAGTCATTAGAGTGAATCAGCAGCCAACAGAATGGGAAAAAATTTTTGCAGTTTATCCATCTGACAAAGGGCTGATATCCAGAATTTACAAAGAACTAAAACAGATACAAGAAAAAAACAAGCCCATTCAAAAGTGGGCAAAGGATATGAACAGACACTTTACAAAAGAAGACATACATGAGGCCAACAAACATATGAAAAAATGCTCATCATCACTGGTCATTAGAGAAATGCAAATCAAAACTACATTGAGATACCATCTCCCGCCAATTAGAATGGCGATTATTAAAAAATCTGGAGACAACAGATGCTGGAGAGGATGTGGAGTAATAGGAACACTTTTACACTGCTGGTGGGAGTGTAAATTAGTTCAACCATTGTGGAAGACAGTGTGGCGATTCCTCAAGGACCTAGAAATAGAAATTCCATTTGACCCAGCAATCCCATTACTGTATATATATCCAAAGGATTATAAATCATTCTACTGTAAGGACACATGCACACGAATGTTCATTGCAGCACTGTTTACAATAGCAAAGACCTGGAATCAACCCAAATGCCCATCGATGATATACACCATGGAATATTATGCAGCAATCAATGATGAGTTCGTGTCCTTTGTAGGGACATGGATGAACCTGGAGACCACCATTCTCAGCAAACTGACACAGAAAAGAAAACGAAATACCGCATGTTCTCACTCATAGGCGGGTGTTGAACAATGAGAACACGTGGACACAGTGAGGGGAGCACTACACACTGGGGTCTATTGGGGGGAATAGGGGAGGGACAGCTGGGGGTGGGGAGTTGGGGAGAGATAGCATGGGGAGAAATGCCAGATATAGGTGAAGGGGAAGAAGGCAGCAAATCACACTGCCACTTGTGTACCTATGCAACTATCTTGCATGTTCTTCACATGTACCCGAAACCCTAAAATGCAATTAAAAAAAAAGAAAGAGAGGATAATGCTTCTAAGTTTCTTTATTAAAAGAATTTTTTTTTTATTAAGAAAGAATCACCTTTATTTTTAGAGGAACTCAAAATCCAATGTTAAATATTTAAGTAGAAATATATGTAAGTTAACCTCTTGCAAAATTAGCTAAGGGAATTAATACTCTTTAGACTTTCCATTGCACCATTTGATAATTGTGGGGAAAAGGAAGCTCTTGTGCAGGAAATTAGGTCCCACATATCGTCCAAACAAAGTTTAATATCAGTCTTTCTAGCACATACCTAAATTTCTTGAGTATGTCAGAGGTTCTGTCCTCTTCCATTAGTAATTTTAAGAATGGCTTTTGAACAAATGTGGTAGAGGCAGGTATCTGCTTTTCTTTGATGATTAAGGGGATAGGTTGACTAAGATTCAATTCATGTATCTTTCTGAGCTATAAAAAAATTAGATCAGAAAAAGGAAACCATGAAAAGAGAATCTTTAGAAGGATCTTCAGAGCTGTTCCTAGACTAAACTGTAATTCCTCTTTTCCATGGATTTGCAAATCCTCTCCCTACTCTACCCGCTTCCAACATTCATAATTTCAGAGGTGGCAGCTCTGCTATGTAAAATCCTTAGTCCTACTTAAGCTCAACTCCTGGTCCTCTCATGTTCTTGAGACGCTGGGATAGTTACTTAATTTATCTGCACTTCTTTCCCCTCATTTCTAAAACAGGGATAATAACACAGGGTTGTTGGGAGAATTGTAAAACACAGTATATATGGAAGCACTTTACAAATTGTGAAGCAGTATGCAACTGTAATGATAGCCAGCATTTACTGAATACTTAACTGAATGTCAGACACTGAGCTAAGCACTTTCCATATATTAGCTGATTTGGTATTTATAACAACCTTATGAGATACATATTATTATTACCCTTATCTTACATATGGAGAATCAGGCTCAGAAAATGTAAGCAGCTTGCATAACGTCACTTAGCTAGTACGTAGCTAGGCTGATTTGAACCCCCACAATCTGGTAGCAGAACTAACCCTCTTGACCACCATGCTGATTCAGTGCAGGGTATTCATATCTAACCTCTTATCCCTTTTGCTTTGTCTCCTTTCTCTAAGCCTTGATACCCATACCTCACCCTCTGGATTTTGGCTTCCCTGACCCCAGACCCTTATTCCTCCTCTAAAATGCCCTAGGCATTGTGATTCCTGTTAAATAACCCATGTTGCTGTCAACCCTATCTACATTGGCTATATTTGCCAAATTTAAAAAAAGGAGCATATTCATTTTTTTGACAAAAAGCTGTAATATTTAAAATATAACTGTTCTGGGCCAGGTGCAGTGGCTCATACTTGTAATCCCAGCCCTTTGGGAGGCCAAGACGGGTGAATCACTTGAGGTCAGGAGTCCAAGACCAGCTTGGCCAATGTGGTGAAACCCTGTCTTTACTAAAAATACAAAAATTACCCGGGCATGGTGGTGGGCACCTATAATCTCAGCTACTCAGGAAGCAGAGGCAGAAGAATCACTTGGACCCAGGAGGTGAAGATTGCGGTGAACCGAGATCACGCATCTGCACTCCAGCCTGGTTGACAGAGCAAGACTCCATCTCAAAAAAATAAATGAATAAATAAAAAATAAAATATGGCTGGGCGCAGTGGCTCACGCCTGTAATCCAAGCACTTTGGAGGCCAAGGCGGTGGATCACCTGAGGTCGGGAGTTCAAGACCAGCCTGACCAACATGGTGAAACCCCATCTTTTAAAAATAAATAAATAAATAAAACAAAAAATAACAGTTCTGGAAAATTTACAATATATGTTTGACTTGGATTAGGCTCTGTCTGATGAGAAGTCTCTCTCTACCTTCCAAAGTAGCAAGTAAACTAATCTTATAAATTAATTGATGTCGACTGGCCATGGTCACTCACGCCTGTAATCCCAGCACTTTGGGAGGCCGAGGCAGGCAGATCATGAGGTCAGGAGTTTGAGACCAGCCTGGCCAATATGGTGAAACCCTGTCTCTACTAAAAATACAAAATTAGCCAGGTGTGATGGCATGCACCTGTAGTCCCAGCTACTTGGGAGGCTGAGGCAGAAGAATCACTTGAACACAGGAGGTGGAGGTTGCAGTAAGCTGAGATTGCACCACTGCATTCCAGCCTGGGCAACAGAGCAAGACTCTGTCTAAAAAAAAAAATCCTGATGTTAATGAGAGAGAAGGATATATAGTTATAAAATGTCTCTAGAACCCCAGCTTGTAACATTTATCATTAGAACTCAGGCCAGGCGTGGTGGCTTATGGCTGTAATCCCTACACCTTGGGAGGGTGAGGCGGGTGGATCACCTGAGGTCAGGAATTCAAAACCAGTCTAGCCAACATGGTGAAACCCATCTCTATGAAAAATACAAAAACTTAGCTGGGTGTCGTGGTGGGCACCTGTAATCCCAGCTACTCAGGAGATTGAGTCAGGAGAATTGCTTGAACCCGGGAAGTGGAGGTTGCCGTGAGCCGAGATACTGCCACTGCAGTCCAGCCTGGATGACAGAGCAAGACTCAAAAAGAAAAAGGAAGAAGAAGGCCATTTGAAAGACAGAAGCAGAGATCGGAATTATGTGGCTACAAACAGGAATGCTAGATTGCCCACAGCCGTCGCAATCTAGGACAGAATCATACAACAGAATGCCCTCTCAGAGCTTCTAGAGGGAACCAACCCGGCAAACACCCTGATTTCACTAATTTCTGGCCCCTAGAACTGTAAGAGAGTAAATTTCTGTTGTTTCAAGCTATGAAGTTTGTGGTAATTTGTTACAGCAGCCCAGGAAAGTAATATAGCATGCTGTCTCCAGGTAAATGTCATTTTCAAAGCTTAACCACTTTCGTGTTTTTACAACATGCTGGAGAGAGGGAGTGGAGAGCAGGTTACCTCCTCAAATACATGTATCATTTTCTTCAAGCACTGATTCCGTTTCTGCCCTAGAGACTTCTGCTTCTCAGTCCAGACCTGCATCACCTTTTTCTGGTAGTCATCAAGTCTGCTTAGCATCACGTAAAGGTTCCTGGCCTCATAGCCTTTCCCAGTATTCTGGATGGCTTTTAGTAGTTTCATTATGTTGTTTCTTGAAAAGATAAATAAGAATTAGAATGATGGCTGGGTGTGGTGGCTCATGCCTGTAATCCCAGCACTTTGGAAGGCCAAGGCAGGCAGATAGCCTGAGGTCAGGAATTTGAGACCAGCCAACCCCATGTCTACTAAAAATACAAAAACTTGGCCAGGCGTGGTAGCTCAGGCCTATAATCCCAGCAACTCAGGAGACTGACACAGGAGAATTGCTTTAATCCAGGAGGCAGAGGTGTCACTGCACTCCAGCCTGGACAACAAGAGAGAAACTTCATCTCAAAAAAAAAGAAGGCTGCGTGAGGTGGCTCAAGCCTGTAATCCCAGCACTTTGGGAGGCCGAGGCAGGTTGATCACGAGGTCAAGAGATCAAGACCATCCTGACCAATATGGTGAAACCCTGTCTCTACTAAAAATACAAAAAAAAAAAAAAAAAATTAGCTGGGTGTGGTGGTGCACGCCTGTAGTCCCAGCTACTCAGGAGGCTGAGGCAGGAGAATTGCTTGAACCTGGGAGGTGAAGTTTGCAGTGAGCCGAGATTGCACCACTGTACTCCAGCCTGGCACCTGGTGACAGAGCGAGACTCTGTCTCAAAAAAAAAAAGAGAATGATAACAGTTATCACCCTACTTCATCAAACTTGTCCTCAGTTTTGTTTTTTGGTTTTTTTTTTTTTGAGACAAGAGTCTTGCTCTATTGCCCAGGCTGGAGTGCAGTGGCATGATCTTGACTCAGTGCAATCTCTGCTCCCTGGGTTCAAGCGATTCTCATACTTCAGCCTCCCAAGTAGCTGGGAATACAGATGCACACCACCACGCCCAGCTAATTTTTGTATTTTTAGTAGAGATGGTGTTTTGCCATGTTGGCCAGGCTGGTCTTGAACTCCTGACCTCAAGTGATCCTCCTGCCACAGCTTCCCAAAATGTTAGGATTACAGAAGTGAGCCACTGTGCCCCAACTGTCCTCAGTTTCTTTCAATTCTCCCATCATATCCAGTAAGTAGAGAAGGATGGGAACCTTACTTCATCAGACTTTAATCCAGTTCCTTTATGAAGGAACCTTCAAAAATCTATATGATAACCAAAATTTTCATTAAGTCTTCACAAAGTTTTTAGTGTTACAATAGTGTTGCTTATTACTGTTTTAGTATATTTTAAAAGTTAGGCCAGATAAGGTAGCTCATGTCTGTAATCCCAGCACTTTGGGAGGCTAAGGTGGGAAGATTGCTTGAGGCTAGGAGTCTGAGACCAGCTTGGGCAATATAGTAAGACTCTCTACAAAAAATAAAAATAGCTGGGCATGGCCGGGAGAGGTGGCTCACGCCTGTAATCCCAGCACTTTGGGAGGCCAAGGAAGGCAGATCACAAGGTCAGGAGTTCGATACCAGCCTGAACAATATGGTGATACCCTGTCTCTACTAAAAATACAAAAATTAGCCAGGTACAGTAGCACATGCCTGTAGTCCCAGCTATTCAGGAAGCTGAGGCAGGAGAATTGCTTGAACCTGGGAGATGGAGGTTGCAGTGAGCTAAGATCACGCCACTGCACTCCAGCCTGGACGACATAGTGAGACTCTGTCTCAGAAACAAAAACTAAAACAAACCACCACCACCACCACAAGAAATCTTCAAACTACTTTCCACAGTGGCTGAACTAATTTACATTCCCATTAACAGTAGATAAGCATTCCTTTTCTCTGCAGCCTTGCTAACATCTGTTATTTTTTACTTTTAATTTTTATTATTATTTTGAGACAGTGTCTCACTCTGTGACCCAGGCTGGAATGCAGTGGAGAAATCTTGGCTCACTGCAACCTCTGCTACCTGGGTTCAAGCAATTCTCCTGCCTCAGCCTCCCAAGTAGCTGGGACTACAAGTGTGTGCAGTCACACCAGCTAATTTTTGTATTTTTTGTAAAGACAAGAGTTTTACCATGTTGGTCAGGATGGTCTCGAACTCCTGACCTCAGGTGATGCCTCGGCCTCCCAAAGTGCTGGGATTACAGACGTGAGCCACCGCACCCGGCCTCCTGACTTTTTGATAATAATCATTCTAACTGTTGTAAAATGGTATCTCATTGTGATGATTAATTTTCTTGACCATTTTTTCATGAGTTTGTTAGCTGCTTATTTGAGATACTTTTGAGAAGTGTATGTGTATGTCCTTGGCCTACTTTTTAATGGGTTACTTGTTTGTTTTTTGCTTGTTGGATTGTTTTAAGTTCACTTTAGATTCTAGATATTAGACTGTTGGATGCGTAGTTTGCGAATATTTTCTCACATTCCGTAGATTGTCTTTCTACTCTGTTGACAGCATCTTTGGCTGTGCGGAAGATCTTTAATTAGGTTTCACTTGTCAGTTTTTGCTTTTGTTGCAATTGCTTTTGAGGACTTAGTCATAAATTCTTTGCCAAAGTTGATGTCCAGAATGGTATTTCCAGAAGACACAAAATTTTAAATAAAGAAACAGTAGGAGTTTGAGACCAGCCTGGCCAACATGATGAAACCCCGTCTCTACTTAAAATCCAATAATTAGCCGGGATTGGTGGCAGGCGCCTGTTATCCCAGCTACGCAGGAGACTGAGGCAGGAGAATCACCTGAACCTGGGAGGCAGAGGTTGCGGTGAGTGAGACTGTACCACTGCACTGCAGCCTGGGCAACAGAGCAAAAACTCTATCTCTAAATAAATAAATAAAATTTAAAAAGAAACAGAATGATACTTCCTAGGTTTTCTTCTAGGACTTGTATAGTTTGAGGTCTTACATCTAAATTTTTAATCCATATCGAGTTAACTTTTGTATATGATGAAAGGTAGGGATGCAATTTCATTCTGCATATGGCCAGGTAGCTGTCCCAGCATCATTTAATGGATAGAGAGTCCTTTCCCCATTGCTTATTTTTGTTGACTTTGTCCACGATCAGATGGTTTGGGCATGGGGCTTTATTTCTGGGTTCTCTATTCTGTTCCATTGGTCTATGTGTCTGCTTTGTACCAGTACAATGTGGTTTTGGTTACTGTAGCCTTATGGTATAGTTTGAAGTTGGATAATGTGATGCCTCCAGCTTTGCTGTTTTTGCATAGGATGGCTTTGGCTATTTGGGCTCTTTTTTGGTTCCATATGAATTTTAGAATAGTTTTTTCTCATGTAGTTAAAAATGATGTTGTAGTTTAATAGGAATGGTATTGAATCTATAGATTGCTTTGAGCAATATAATTTTAATGATATTGATTCTTCCTATCCAAATGCATGGAATATGTTTTCATTTGTATCATTTATGATTTCTTTCAACAGTGTTTTGTAATTCTCCTTGTAGTGATGTTTCCTCTCTTTGGTTAGAAGTAGTCATAAACATATTAAATTTTTGGCAGATATTATAAATGGGAGTATGTTCTTGATTTGTCTCTCAGCTTAAATGTTATTGATGTATAGAAATGCTACTGATGGCCGGACACGGTGGCTCAGGAGCCTGAGGCAAGAGAATCCCTTGAACCCCAGAGCCGGAGGTTGCGGTGAGCCAGGATTATGCCATTGCACTCCAGCCTGGGCAACAAGAGTAAAAGTCTCAAAAAAGAGAGAAAGAAAGAAAGAGAGAGAGAGAGAGAAAGAGAGAGAGAGAGAGAGAGAGAGAGAGAGAGAGAGAGAGAGAGAGAAACAGAGAGAGAGAGAGAGAGAGAGAAGGAGGGAGGGAGGGAGGGAGGGAAAGAAAAAGACTACTAAACTTTTGTACATTAATTTGTATTCTGAAACTTTGCCAGGCAGGAAGGCAGGGCACAGTGGCTCATGCCTGTAATCCTAGCACTTAGGGAGGCTGAGATGGGTAGATCACCTGAGGTCACGAGTTTGAGACCAGCCTGGCCAACATGGTGAAACCCCATCTACTAAAAATCCAAAAATTAGCTGGAGGTGGTGGTGCAGGCCTGTAGTTCCAGCTACTCAGGAGGCTGAGGCAGGAGAATCTCTTCAACCTGGGAGGTGGAGGTTGCAGTGAGCCAAGACCACACTATTGCAATCCAGCCTGGCCAACAAGAGCAAAACTCTATCAAAGAAAGAGAGAAAGAGAGAGAGAAAAAGAAACTTTATTGAAGTCATTTATCGGTTCTAGGAGCCTTTTCGTGGATGGAGTCTTTAGGGTTTTCTAGGTGTGGAATTCATCAGCAGAGACAGACAATTTGACTTCTTTTTCTGTTTGGATGCCTTTTATTTCTTTCTCTTGGGTGACTAATCTGGCTAGGACTTCCAGTACTATGCTAGACAGGAATGGTGATAGTGGACATCCTTGTCTTATTCCTGTTCTGTTTTGTTTTGTTTTTTAAGGTCTTAACTACTTCAGTTTTCTGTGGACTATTCCTGTTCTTTAAGAGAATGCTTCCAGCTTTTGCCTGTTTAGTATGATGTTGGCTGTAGATTTGTCATAAATGTCTGTTATTATTTTGAAGTATGTTCCTCCAGTGCCTCATTTGTTGGGGGTTTTTATCATGAAGTGATGTTAGATTTTATCAAAAGTTTTTTCCACATCTATTGAGATGACCATGTGGTTTTTATTTATTTGTTTATGATTATTTCTTTGAGATGGAAGTTTTGCTCTTGTTGCCCAGGCTGGAGTGCAGTGATGCGATCTCAGCTCACTGCTCCCTCCGCCTGCTGGGTTCAAGCAATTCTCCTGCCTTAGCCTCCCAAGTAGCTGGGACTATAGGTATGTGCCACCACGCCCATCTAATTTTGTGTTTTCCATAGAGACAGGGTTTCTCCATGTTGGAGAACTCCTGACCTCAGGTGATCCACTTGACTTGGCCTCCCAAAGTGCTGGGATTATTGGCATGAGCCACTGCGCCTGGCCTATTTTTAATTCAGTTTATGTGGCAAGTCACATGTATTGATTTGTGTATGTTGAGCCATCCTTGCATCCCAGGAATAAACCCTACTTGATTGTGGTGAATTAAGTTTTTGATGTGCTCTTGGATTCTATTTGCTAGCATTTTGTTGAGGATTTCTACATCTTGG